GACTCTAGTATAGGATTCTTACCAATATATTATGCGTAGTGGTGAGCACCTCGTTTTTATTTGTGCTCATCCCTACCTGCTCTTCATTGATGCAGGATAAGCACGTGTTGGGCATGACGAGACTGAATACGAGTGGGTGGTCAAACATTATTAATGCTTTTTATTGCTTCCGCATGCTTTGATATTTATGTTGAGATTATCAGACTTTGTTATTCATCCCTATTGCTTTCGGGATTGGTTGAACTGTTGAACCATGTGCAATATTTTTATCAGTTTGGATTATGTTGACAATCCTATTGCTAGATATGTTGAAATCTAGTCTTGGAACTTGAATTATGTTGAATATTCTCGTTTCTCTTATGCTGATTATGTGTTTAACTTTGGAAAGTTCTCAAGTAACGCCAAATGTTTTATGAATCGATAAATGGTTTTCAAAATTTTAAAACAAGATTTTTGGATAAGTCCGGAATTGTCTTTAAAAATCTTTGGGGCGTTACAGTTTGGTATTAGAGCCAGTCTGCGTTTCTGTAGACTGGTTTATATGTGATTAAGTGATTGTGTGAAATGACCTTGTGTGTTTGACCACTCGTCTTCGTCATGCCGCACTGCTTAAGGTATGTTTTAAGTAAGTATTGGTATATACTTGAGCAATGTAATGCTAATATTTGGGGTTAGGTTTTATCCACCTTTAAAATGTGAACTCTAGGGTCGAACTCTAGACTTCTTTTATTTTGTGCTAAATCTTTGCGGCTCATTTTTCAATGTAGAGAAATGGCTCGTCAAACCCGCAATAGCAATCAGCAGCAACCACCTCCTCCTCCTCCTCCTCATCATCATCAGCATGCTCTGGGTAGAGATCCCATTACCCAAGTTGTGATCAATTTCCGTAACATGTATCCTCCGGCGTTCACCGGAGTTGAGGGCCCCGAAGCTGTGGCTGAATGGCTTTAGTAGTTGGAGAGTTTCTTCGATCTGTTGTTCACCACTGATGAGGTGAAAATCCGTTGTGCCTCGTTCGTGATGACCGGAGATGC